CCCCAAACACCCGGGGATGAAACATCAGCCGGGGATGGCCGGGAGGGAGCTGGAGCCCACGGAGCAGGGAAGCCCTGTGGGTGCTGCTGGTGCTGAAGGGACACACAGGTGGCATCCTTTTGTCCCCTGTCCCTGCAGGAGAACAGTGAGGCGGCCAAGCGGGAGCTGTGCGCTCGCTTCGACGCCTTGGCAGCGCTGCTGGAGGAGAAGAAGTCGGAGCTGCTGCAGCGCATCTCCCAGGAGCAGGGAGAAAAGACAGCCTTCATCCAGAGCCTCATCTGCCAGTACAAGGAGCAGCTGGAGAAGTCAAGCAGGCTGGTGGAAACGGCCATCCAGGCAGCGGAGGAGACCGGGGGGGCTGCCTTCCTCATGGTGAGACCCCCAAATTTTTCCCTCCCTGCTGGTGCCTACATGGGTCCTGCTGTCGAGGACATCCTGGTGGCTCTCTTGTGGCTTCACTCACCTCCTTCTCCTCTTTCTTCTCCTTCTCCTTCTCTTTCTTCTCCTTCTCCTTCTCCTTCTCCGCCTCTCTCCACACAGAATGCGAAGCAGCTCATCAAAACGTAAGTGCTCAAACTGGGAAAAATCCAGTGATCCCAGCCCCACAGATGGGCAGGATTTGGCCACGGGGCTTTGCCAGTGGGGGGTTGCCCCGACCCCTTACCCTGGCATCCCATGGTCCTCGAGCTTGGCGAGGGGACAGGGACACACATATCCATGCTTTCCCTGCCCAGGATCGTGGAGGCCTCCAAGGGTGGTCGTCTGGAGAAGATTGAGCAGGGATATGAGAGCATGGATGCCTTCTCTGTGAGCCTGGACCACCTCACTGACGCCGTCCGTGCCTTGGACTTCGACCCCGGTAATTCAGCCCCCGACCCCCTGACACCCCTTTACCAACTCCCACCAACCCAGTGACACCCATCGCATCTCCTGGTGGCTCCTGGTGACATTTGGTGGCTTGTTTGCAGCAGAGGAAGACGAGGAATACTTTGATGGGGAGGAGGAAGAGGTGGAGGAGGACACAGCGCCCGAGAGGACAGTGATGGGTAAGGAGCCAAGCACACCCCTCTGGGACCCTCAACCCCTGGGGGAGCTTTGGGGGGCTTGGATTCCCCTTGACCCTCCTACCCTCTTCCCTGGCAGCTTCCCAGTAGCCACAGCGATGTTGCCAGCATGGGAGAAACGCCGTGGGCACAGGATGTCCGGCGGTGGATTCGGGATTGGGGGGGGACACGGCGCAGGGACCGGCAGCCCGGAGAGCCGGCGCCTGCTCCAGCACAGGACACTTTTCCATACGGGTGCAAACAGGACAATTCCGCACGTTTTGTAATTTTCCTTGGGTTTTTTTTTTTGTATATAATTGTCACGGATTTGAAATTTGTGTATTTTGTAAAGAAAAAAACTGGTGGTTTGGGTGGTTATTTCTTCCTCGCCTCTCCCGTCTTGGCTTGGGGGTGGGTTTGCCAGGATGGTGCCACCACTGGTGGCCCTGCCAGGTCTTGGCGTGGCAGAGGGACACCTCCAATCCAACTGTTAATTTCCAGCCTCGTTAGCACCTCTGGCAGCGCTGGCACGCAGGCCTGGCCTCCTGCCTGGGGATATAACAGGTCAGCACCCCGCAGGATTTATCTCCTGGTGATGAGATGTGCTTGCCTGGGGTTGGAAATGCGGCACAGAGAGGGCTGAGGATGCTCCAGGCTGTGCCAGTCCCCAAAATGGGGATGGTCTTGGCATCGAGCTGCTGTTTTGCTGCTGGCTGAGTTCACACAAGTGCAAAAATACACCTTGAATGCAAAAATACACCATAAACGCAAAAATACACCATAGATGCTTTTCTCCTGAAAAAAATATAAGCCTGGCTCAGCAGGGGCCAAGGGGAAACTGAGGCAGGGCCTGCAGCAGTGCCCTGGGCTGAGTCACAATTGCAATTAGCCCCAGGGTAATTAGTGCTGCTCACCCAGAGCAGGGGGCAGGAGTCGCTGCTGGGGGCGGGTCTGGCTCCAGGCGTATCCATCCCACGGTTGCTCCGCAGCTGGATCTAAACTGGGGGGTTCCGAGGGCTCCCCAAGTCAGGGAGGGGTGTCACCAGGAGCCTTCTTGGGGGGGACATGGGGATGTTCCATCCCCCCCCACCTCGGGGGCTGCATCCACGCCCTGGTGTGCAGCTCCTTGGGGGTGCTATGGGGGGGTCGCAGAGGAATCTCCCCCTCCAGGCGCCGGGTGAGGGGGCCCACCCCGGGTCAAGGCGGCGGCGGGCGCTTTGCAGCCGGCTTGGCTGTCCCTCCTCCAGCCGGGATTTGCACACGAATCCCGGCGCTCCACACGATCCGAGGCCACCGGCTGCCACCAGCGCCGGCCACACGCCGGGGTCACCCGCCCCGAACCCCCCGCCCCGGAGGAGGATGGCAGCCGGCGAGGAGAAACGGCACCTCCTGAGCGAGGGCGCAGCCGGGTAGGGGGGGTACCCGGCGGGGCTGGGGATGTTGGGTCCCTCTTCCCTGTGGAGCTCCAAAGCGGGGTCTCCTGGAGTCACCTGGCCAGGGAAGGGGCGGCGGGAGGGGCATTCAGGGTCTAAGCCCCTCCCCAAAATCCCCCCGGGTCCCCAACCACCCCTTTGCCCGGCAGGTCCTACGTGGGGGCTGAGCAAAAGAACGGGCACCACTCGGCGCGGGGACAGGCGCCCGCCCTGGAGCTGGGGACACGGCGTGGCCAGCACTGCCACACCCGGGGGCCCGACGGCCACCCCGGGCAGCAGCGGCGGGCGCGCAGGAAGCTCTACCTGGCCGCTGGCATCTGCCTCGTCTTCATGGTGGGGGAAGCCGTGGGTGAGTGGTGGGACCGGGGTCCGGGGGTTTGGTCCCTGTGCGGTCACCCTGAGTGGGTGCCCGTAGCCCCTCTTGTCCTGCTTCCCTGCTGTGGGTGCAGGCAGGGGTCCCTGTGGGTTTTCAGTGGGTCAAAACACACAGTGGGGCCCCCACCGTGGCATGGGGTGAGCTGGCCTGTGCCTGCCTCAGGGTGGGATGCCACCCCGATGTCCCCACTGATGTCCCCTCTCCGCAGGGGGGTACCTGGCACACAGCCTGGCCATCCTGACGGACGCAGCTCACCTCCTGACAGACTTTGCCAGCATCATGATCAGCCTCTTTGCACTCTGGGTGTCCTCACGCCCACCCACAAAAACCATGAACTTTGGCTGGCACCGAGCAGGTAACAGGGTGGCACCACCATCCAGCTCCCAGGGAGCACTCAGAGCATCCCAGGGTGCTCTGCCCATAAGGACTGGGTGCTGGGTGCCCATCCCACACCCCGATGCTGCTGGGGAGCCCGGAAGGGAGCTCAGGTTTGGCACAGTGGCGAAGCAACGATGTGGGGTGGGGGGGTCTCTCCACAGAGATCCTGGGGGCCCTGCTCTCCGTGCTCTCCATCTGGGTGGTCACGGGGGTCCTGGTCTACCTGGCAGCCCAGCGTCTGCTCTCAGGTGACTACGACATCGAGGGTGGGGTCATGCTCATCACCTCCGCCTGCGCCGTGGCCGTCAACATCGTGTACGTGTGGCCAGCTGGCTCCTGCCCTCCCTGGGTGTCCCCTCCCTGTGTCTGGTGGCCCCTGGGGGTGTCACCACTGTCCTGCCCGCAGGATGGGGTTGGCTCTGCACCAGACAGGGCATGGGCACAGCCACGGGGCAGCCGGCGAGCAGCCCAGCGCCAGCGTCCGCGCCGCCTTCGTCCACGTCGTGGGGGACCTGCTGCAGAGTGTTGGTGTCCTCATCGCATCCTACATCATCTTCTTCAAGGTCTGGGTGTTACTGGGGGCAAAGGGGATGCTTGGGGACATGGAGGCAGCGGCTTCAGCCAGCCCTGGCCAGACAGAGGGGTGAGACGGAGACAGAGGGGTCTCTGTCTCTGACAGTCTCTCTCTCTGACGGAGACATAGGGGTGAGACTGTGTCCCCACACAGGGGTGAGACTGTCCCCTGCTTGCTGGTGCTGGTGGGGGTTTGGGGCGAGGTGATGTTTCCAGGGAGGCCTCACCCTCTCCCACCCTCTCCAGCCCAATTACAAGTTCGTGGATCCCATCTGCACCTTCCTCTTCTCCACGCTGGTGCTGGGGACGACGCTGACCATCCTGCGCGATGTCCTCCTCGTCCTCATGGAAGGTGGGGACCCACCGGGAGGGGGAGTCTGGGCCGTGGGGTCACCCATGGGTGCCGTGGTCCCCCTCCCTGCAGCGCCCATGGCTCTCCCTCCCCAGGGACCCCCAAAGGGATGGATTTCAATGCAGTGAGGGAGACGCTGCTGGCGGTGCGGGGGGTGGAGGCCGTGCACAGCCTCCACATCTGGGCGCTGACGGCGGCACAGCCCCTGCTCTCGGTGCACATTGCCATCAGTGAGTATCCCAAGGGGGGGTCAGGGGTCACCCACACCCCCACGTCCCTTCCCTTTCCATCCCAACACAGGGTGGGGGGTCGGGGTTCACCCACACCCCCACAGCCCGTCCCTCTCTCCGTGCAGACACGGCCGCCAGCGCGCAGGAGGTGCTGGAGGAGGCCAGCTCCCGGCTGCAGGGCACCTTCCACTTCCACACCACCACCATCCAGGTGGAGAGCTACTCCGAGGAGATGAGGGACTGCCGGGAATGCCAGCCCCCCCGCGACTGACTCCTCTGCTGGCTGCCCAGGGGAAACTTCTTATGTGTGGAAAATAAAGCAGAGCACGGGGTGTTGGGTCTGGTATCAGGGTGTTATCTCTGGTATCTGTAGGAGCCAAGGGCAGACCTAGGGCTGTGGAAGCCAGAGGGCAGCAGCTGTTGGAAGCCAGCAGCCTTAATATTCCCTGTTTCTATTCAGCTGGAGGGTAAGGCAGCTAAAACACACCTTTTCCCTTCTCCGAGGAGCGCTGTGAGGCAGTGGGGTGCTGGAGTGCCTGGTGCTGTGGGTGGACCCATCCCAGCTGGGAGAAGGAGGACACACTGGCCTTGCTCTCACCTCTTATCACTCCTCTGTTTGCCCTCAGGAAGGTGAAGGACTCGCCCTCCCCGCGGGGCTGGGGGAGCTGTATGTGCAGCCAGGAGCTGCCCGGGTTATTCCCAAGGTGCCAAATGCATAAGCAATGGTGCACTCAAACACCAGCACTCCCAGTGCTCCCAGTGCTCCCCACATTCTACAGCCACAGACTCTGCCTCTCCACCCTCCTTTATTGCACTGGTAAAACCCAATAACGAGTAAAACCCCGTTAGCAGCAGCAACCACCTGCTCCCAGAGGGCTCCGTGCACCGGGAGCAGGGCACCCAGGGCAGCCTGGCAGCCCTCAGGGTTTCTCCAAGCGTGGGTATTTCTTGCGCAGGACGGAGACCTGGTCCTTGAAGAGGACGGGGTCGAGGCGCAGCTGGGAGGACACCAGGGGCATGTAGCCAAACCAGTCCACCAGCTGGTTGAGGCAGTCCTGCCGCTGGGAGAAACGCCGGCTGCCAACCGCCCCCACCGTGCCCTTCACCTTGGCAGCAGGACAGCGCGGGGGGTGAGGGGCTGCACTCCCCGCTCGGGGGGGTCCCCACACCCCCGCCCATGCACCCTACCTGCTGGGGCACCGTGTCCTTGTGCTGCTTCCTCTGGGCGACCTTGACGGGGGGCAGCTTGGTGACGGCGGCCACCAGGACGTTCATCAGGATGTCCTCGCAGGCGGCCAGGCCGTCCACCAGCTCCCGCAGCCCCGCCGGCAGGTACTCGGTGAAGAGGCTGTGGTAGTACCTGGGGAGGGGGCGAGGTGGGGGGCAGGATGTGGCCCAATTCCCCTGCCCACCAGCCCCTCCCCGGGCGGGTACCTGTGGTAGAAGGCGGCGGCGGTGAGGACGATGGAGAGCTCGTTGGTCCATTTGGAGGTGTAGCCCCAGCGCCCCTGCTCGGGGTCCCAGAAGTGGCTCAGGGCGGGGAAGCCCACGATGCGCTCGGGGAAGCTGCGCCACACCGCGAAGGCAAAGTCCACCTGGCACGGGGTGGGGGGACGGTGTCACCCACTGTGGGTCACCCACTGCCACCCCTGCCTTCTCCCAGAGGGTATGGGGACATGGGGACAGCAGGCACTGCTCCCTCCAGCCCCGTGAGCATCTGAAGGACCAAGGACCGTGGTGCCCATGGCCTCACCTCGCTGGTTGAGAGGCTGGTGTGCTCATCCAGGCTCAGCACTGCGTCCGTCTGGATGGCCGTGTAGGGGAAGAAGCGGTCGCTGGGCTATGAAGGGGGGAAAGGCAGGTTGGGTTGTGCCATGGGGTGGGTGTCCCAGCTCCCTGCCCCCGTCCTGGCTCCCTGCTCCCATCCTGGCTCCCTGCCTTGCGTCCCAGCTCCTCTCACCTTCCTCCTGCCCTGGATGATGGTCAGAGGCACGGTGGTCTGGGGCCATTTCCCGCTCGGTGGTGGTGGCTTCTCGCAGCTCCACAGCACCAGGATCTGCAGGGGGGAGGACAGGTGTGTCTGCTCATCCCAAAACCACCTCGTGGCAGTTTGGACCAGGATAAACCCCCAGGTGGTCCCACCTCCACCCCAGGGGACTGGGGATAGAGCTCTGCCCACCCAAGGGTAACATCAGCCACCCCCTCCAACCCCTAAACCCATCCACCCCCTTCCCAACCCATGGGACCCTGCCCTGTCCCTCCTTCTGGATCCCTGGGAGCTGCACCAGGTAGCGCAGGGCTCAGCTCTTCCCACCTGGGCACAGTATTGGGATCCAGAGACGGCTTGGATGAGCCTGAGGATGGGCTGGGAGAGGGAACCCGCTTGTGAGACCACCCGGATGAAGGCTGTAAACTTCTCGGAGGGGCTGGAGCCTGAAAAAAGGGTGCGAGAGAAGACAGACGTGGCATGCACTGAGTTTGCCATGCTCAGCAGGGGACAGGTGGGGTCCTACCATGCTGCAGGTAGTAGAAGGGAAAATCCCCGGCGTGGGTGGAGAAGTCGGGCAGGACCAGGAGCCCCCCGGGCAGCGTGTTCCAGAGGAAGCGGGAGCGGGAACGGTGCGGAGACAGACGGTCCTTGATGATCTGCCAGAGGCCGGAGTGATGCTCCCAGCACCCTGGTTGTGACCCCGGGAGCTACGAGGGGAAGTTTGGGGTGGGGGCCTCACCTCCAGCGTGGTGTGCACGATCTTGTCCACAGAGGAGAAGTATGCATCCCACAGGAACTGGGTCTGCTGCTGGAAAGCCAGCACGCGCTCTGGGTGGATGCAGCGGACGGCAGAAGGGATCTGTGAAGGCAGGGGGGAGCTGGTTTCTCCTCTCAGCACCACCCAGCCCCCCAGAAGGGCTCCTTGCCTCCACCACCTCCAACCATCCCAAGGGAAACCCCCCTGCCCCCAGGCAAGGATGCTGTGCCACCACTCCACTGTGGTGCTGCATCTCCTCTCTCTGGAGCAGGATCTGGCCCAGGACCTCCAAGGGTTTGAGTCTGGGATGGGTCTTGGTCACCCCCCCAAGATGAACAATGCCCCAGGGCTGCAGATGGAATGGGACCCCCATTCCAAGCTGGATGAGACTCTCCTGCATCCATCTACATGAGAGCTGCCGGACTTGGCCACAGAGGTTTCACCCCTGGACTTGGCTGAGGGTTCCACCACCAATGAAATTAAGATTTGGGGTCCCCTGTGCCCTTTTGGGGCAGGATCCAGCCACGGTACCTGCAGCAGGAGCCTCTCACTGCCCACGACAGCAGCTTTGCCCCAGTCGATGGCCTCGGCGAAGGGCAGCTCCCAGCCGTCACTCAGCAGCACAGGGATGCAGGCGGCCTGTGGTGGGACCCCACAGGGCTGGGACAGAGCCCCTCGGACCCCAAGGAGAGGGTCCCCTGTCCCCCTGCCCACCCTGTACCTGCAGAGCCTCCAGGAAGCGGAAGGAGCCCAAGCGCCTGCCCCGGGGCACGATGCAGAAGGTGGAGTTGTGCAGCAGCTCCTGGTAGTCGAACCTGGGATGGGAGATGGGGTGGGAGTCAGGAATGACCCCCAGTCCCAATCCATGAGCATTCTGGGGGTCTCACTTGCACCTGGAGGGTGTGTGTGACCAGCCCAGGGCAGCGTTAGGACTGACTGGGGCTGATTTTGGCTCTGAATATCCCCGGCCCCATAGGGCTGGTGGAGCAGACATGCCCTGGGTGATGTGCCACCCTTAACAGGTGGGGGGTCAGGATAGGACCCCGGTGCCTTCAAAGGCATGACCCTGCTCCCCCCACCCCCTGGTAATGAAACCCCACGCAAAGCCACCACCCGAACCCCCAAGCCCGAAACTGCGGCGACTCCTCTGCCGTGCCCGGACTTGCCGGGCAGGACCAGCCCTGCCTGCCCTGGCAGCGTTCGGGGGGGGCCAGCGGGTGTAGCCAGCGTGGCCCCCTCGGGTCGGGCTTGCCCGTGGGGCTGTGAAAGCCCCTTCTGTGCGGTGGTGGGGAGAGGCGCGTCCGCTGCCGGGTCCCTGCAACCGCGCCGGAAAATCCAATATTGACTCTAGGTCGGGACAGACCCCGTCTGTTCCTGCCTGCGGGGAGGGAGGGACGGGGCAGCCGGCTCCTGGATGGGCTGGGGGAGGATGTGCGTGGTCCAGCTGCGGGGCTGGGAGACCAAAGAGCTCCTTGAAGAGTGCTGGTCCCCAGGAGGAAGGGTCTCCCTGCAGTGGGAACGTGGTGCCGGTGCCAGCCTGGGAGTTGAGGACGTCCCCCCTCACAGTGCTGGAGCACCCTGGGGCATCCCGGCACTCTGGGATGTGGGAAATCAGCCCCAATGCCAAGGCACAACGTTTTACAATAAAACCCACCTCTGGTCAAACTGTCCCAGTGGATGCCAAAAGCCTCGTTAGTGCACCCTGACTCATTGACACCCAACACCCCATAGGAGGGGTGACGGCGGCTCAAACAGCACCCAGACCCCCCCACGAAACCACAGCAGTGACAGCCACATCCCCGGGGCCAGACACTGCTGCCACCCACTCCTCGGAGACCCCAGACCCAGCCACGACCCCCAGGACCTCGGGGGAAGCATTCCCACTGCCGGGGCTGGGTGGGCAGTGGGACACACCCCGGGGGGCAGCCTCCCCTCTCCAGCAGTGTCGTGGGGAGGCTGGCGCCGGCCGGGCTGCGGGGCCAAAACCTCCCGATGGAAATACTTCGCTCCTGACGCTGCTGCGGTTTCCGGGCAATCACGGCCGTCAGGGCTTCCTTGTTTTGTTAGGAGCCGGGACGGGCGCCCGCCCGCGCTCCCTTCGCCAGGCCCCTCCGTGGCTCCGGCCAGGCACGGTGCCACCGGGGACCGTCGGCTCCAGAGAGCCTTTCCCAACCCTCTTGGATTGCTCCAAACCCGGGGCAGCCGGCAGCAGGGCTTGCCCGCAGCGCTGCCACAAGCCACCCTTTATCCCAGCACAGAACAAGTTTGTTTCTGGCATCCCTCCCCCACCCACACACCGGGCTCGAGGAGGATGATGGAACCCCCAGCAAGGCCTTCCTCTGCTCCCCGTGCTGCCTCCACTGTGACAGCACCCGATGTCCCCAGCACACTGCGTGGATGGGGCAGCTGGGGTCTCGCTTTGCCAGCTGTGGTGTGTCCCCTCCCTGCTGGCTTGTCCCCTGTCCAAGTCTGGGAACATCTCCCAGGGCAGGAGGGCATCAATCCCCACAGGAGGTTGGGCAGAGCTGGCCCGGCGCGATGGAGACGCCGATGGCTTTTTGCCCACTGTCCCACAGGGATGGGCAGGGTGGTGGAGGCTTGGGGTCACACAAGAGCACGCTGCCCTGTGCCACGTGTTCCCCATCTATCCGCTGCCTAAAGCCATCTTGGGAGAGGTGTAAATCTCCCTGTATTTGCAAACAGCATTAGGGGATTACCTGGGTGGGCAGACGAGGGGATTCCTCATCCCACTGCCCCTCGGCACGGTGCAGGGCTGACCTTGGGCCCCCTGTCCCATCAGCCCCATCACCCTAAAATGCCCCATCCCAAAAAGACCTTGCTGCAAGGGCTGACCCTGCTGGGCTGGTGGCACCCTCCAGACGGGGCCACGCAGTGCATGAGCCATCCTGGGGCAGCAGCTAATCCCAGTGCCAGCACCCCAGCTCCACTTTTACCTCCCAGCACCTCCTAAGACGCTTTGAGGATGATGCCCAACATGGTCTCTCCCCATCTGCTCTCTGACAGGGTGGCTGTGACGCGTCCCCAGGCAATGGGATAGGGACCTGCCCATTGCCAGCGGGATGGGGTCTGTGTTTACCAGCCCTAGATTGGGCAGCTGGTGATGGGTCCCAAGTAGCAGGACGGGGAGATGAGGAGCTGCCGTGTGTCCTCGCAGCATGGAAACCCCCAAACTCACAAAACTTTGTCCCCCCACTTTTTCCATCACACGCTGCTGTCACCACGTCCATTTGTGATGGAGGATGCAGGGGGACCCCCACCCACCACCACCGCCACACTGGCGTGTCCACAGACCCAGCAGTTTTGTGGGATTTTTAGCAGAGCCAGTGAGGGGGGATGTTTCGGGCTCATCTCCAAGAGAAACGTTTATGTTGAGGGAGGGCGGGAGGGGGGGAGAAGAAAAGCGTCATTCATCAGTGTTGGGGAAAAGGGAAATCGTATTAGAGGCGGTGGCAGCGATTGCAGATAAGAGCCGCTCTCACCAGATTACTCCAACTTTAATGCAGGGAAAGCCCTGAGCGCTCAGTGCCTCGCTCCCCACTGGGGCATGAGACCCTCATCTATTTCTGGGAAAGCCCCAAACCTCCCTCCCTGGAGGTCCGGCCGCCACAGGCAGGCACGCAGAGAGACAGGAACATTTGTGGGGTGTCCCACTCCCCCCAGACCCACATTTCACGCCCCGTCTCCAACTCACTTTTCGTAGTCGACGTTATCCTTGTCGCAGCGCGTGTCCTTGTGCTTCTCCCAGTCCTTGCCGTGCTTGCAGGTGGTGAGGGAGATGATGTCCTTCCCGTTGTGGATGTGGTGCAGCGCGTTCCGGGTGCCGGAGCCGATGCCGGTCAGGTACCGCTTCCCCTTGAACACCAACAAGTACTTCTTTTTCGGGGGCACCGAGTCCTGATACAACCACCCCCTCTCCCCGCCGCGCTGCGGGTGGTCCTTGGAGAAGAGAGGGATGGAGACGTCAAAGCCGGGCCGGAAGCTCTCGGTGTCAAAGCTGGCCTTGGCCAGGATGGCCTGGCCGATGTCGAAGCCCAGGTCCCCGGTGTAGTTGGGCCAGGTGCCCGAGTAGAGGTTGAAGATGAGGTGGTTCCGGCCGCCATTCCAGAGCGGGAAGCCGCGGATTTTCTCATCGACATCACGGACGTACTGAGCCGAGAGGTGGTCGCGGTCCAGCGTGTCGATGCTGAGGATGAAGAGGCAGGCTTCCTCGGGCTTTGGGGTGTAGTAGCGGGAGCGCTGGATGGAGGAGAGGATTTTGCCGTAGCTCTCCGAGGTGGGCTGGTCCCTCTCCTGGGGGTAGGTGAACACCTTGAAGCCGTTCCTCTCGCACCTGGAGAAGTCGAAGCAGGTTTCCATCCGGCATCTGCTGCTCTTGTAGACGCTCAGCCATGCCGCCCGCCGCTCCCGGGGGGACAGCAGGGAGGGGTCCCCATCCCTCTGGAGCTCCTCGGGGTCCACAAAGTTTTTGAGGAGGGACCGATCTGTCCAGCGGGGCCAGTTCCTCCGGGCTTCGGCTTTCCTCCCAGAAAAGAAAGAGAGACGGCGCAGCTGGTCTCCTCCAAAGAAGAAAAGCAGGAGCCAAGAGGCAAGGAAAGTCAGGAAAATGTATTTCTTCCTGGTCTGCATAGGTTCACGCACAGCCCCGGCTCCTCATCGGGCTCAGACGGGTGCCAGAGTCCGGCGGAAAGGCCGATGTCCCAAACCCCAGGTGGGTGGTGGGACAGCTCCCGGCCCCCAGGTGTTGTCCTGTGCCCTTGCAGTCTGTGACAAACCCCACTTGCTGCCCCCTCTGCCCAGGGCTGTGCTGGTTTTTCGGGACCGTCCGGCTCTCCAGCCGCGGAGCAGAGGTGTCCCGGCCGCTCACTTCTCCGGGCTCCGGTGCCGCGACAATGACATTTCCATCGCTTGGCTCAGCTTCAAATCCCTGGAGAAGGGGAGAGGTCGCGCCGTCACCGTCCTGTCGCCGCCAACCGTGTCGCCGCAAGCAGCCCCACACATCCCTGCGGCAGGACCCCCCCTCCCGAGCCCCCTGGGAATAAAAACCTGGGAATAAACCCTCCCGCTGCCACCGGAGCCCCCCTATCTCCAACTGCTCCTTCCCTGCGGTCCCCCCGTTACCTTCGGGGACACGCAGCCCCGGGTGGGTGTCGGGCCGCCGTGCCCCGCAGTCCCGATCCCCGGCTGCCCGCGGCTCCGGGCTGCATCCCTGGCCGGGGAAGGCGGCGGAGCGGCCGCCGTGCCGCCCCGCCGGGCTCCCGGTGCGCGGCCGCACGGAGGAGCTGCCGCGGGAGGCTCCGCGCAGCCCCGGGGCCGGGAGGGCTGGGGGTTTGCACCCCTTGTCACCTTGTCCGTCTGTCCCTCTCTGTCCCCCTGTCCCACAGGCTGCCTGTGCAAGACCCCGGCTGCCTGCACCCCTCGTGGCTGCCTGTCCTACTGTCCCCCGTCCCGGGATTGGCTGTCCCCTGTACGTCTGTCTATTCTGCTCTGGGCTGGCTGTCCTCTGTTCGTCTGTCTGTCATGCTTTGGGATGGTTGTCCCCTTTCTATCCCCGGGGCTGGCTGTGCCCTGTCAGTCTGTCTGTCCCCACCCGAGGATGGCTTCTCCCTGTCCGTCTGTCTGTCCCCGTTCCCCCCGAGGCTGGTTGTGCCCTGTCAGTCTGTCTGTCCCGCCGCGGTCTGGCTGTCCCCCTTCCTCCCCCCGGAGCTGGCCGTCCCCTGTCCGTTTGTCCCCCTCTCGGCTGGCCGTCCCCTGTCCCCCTCCGGGCTGGCTGTCCCCTGTCCGCCTGTCTGTCTCGCGGGCTGTCCGTCCCTCCGCGGTCAGTTCCCGGCCCCGTTTCCCGGCCGGTCCCGGTGGTCCATCGTCACCCCCGCGCTCCACGTGCCCCCCCCCGCCCGCATCTGTTACCCCGCGCCCTCGCCCCGCCCACATCGCCGCGCTCGGGCACGCCCACCCGCCTTCCATTGGCTGCCGTTTCGGCCAGGTGGGCGTGGTCTGCATAGCCACGCCCCTCCCGCGCGTTCCCATTGGCCGCGCCCACGTGGGACGGGGATCCCCGCGCGCGCCGGGGGGTGCCCCGAGGGGGTCCGCAGGGTCCTTGTGCCTCCCCCCCCCGCAGTGTCACCCCCGCGGGGACCGACCCACGACCCGTGTCCCCGTGTCACCCGGGGCCGGTGAGACCCCCGAGGGGAGCGGCCCCTCCCGCTGGTCTCTCTGCCCCCGGAGCCCCCCGGGGGACCCCCAAAGGGACGGGGCGGTTGTAGGGCAGCAATGGGGTCACGAGGGGGAGCAGGGGCAGGAACACAACTGGGGCCACCTCCACCAGTGACACCTCAGGGCTTCGATGTCACCCCCAGGCTCCAGCAATCCCCGTCTCCAAGAATACCCCGGGACTCCAAGGGCACTCCCGGGTTCCGCCGACCCCCGCGGTTCCAATGACCCCCCCAAGCTGCAGTGACACACCCAGGTGACCCCCCAGGCAGGGGCAGGAGGGATGAGTCCCTCTGCATCCTCACTGCCAGCCCCCAACCCAGCCACACCCAGCACCCGTGGCACAATGCTGGGGGTGGACTGTGGGGTTCACCTTCTTAGGGGGCAGAGATGGGGGTCCCAGCCTGGCCTGACCCCCCCAAATCAGAGGGGGAACTCTTGGTGGGGTGACTGGAAGAGGAGCCGAGTGGGGGCCATGGGCTGAGTTAATCCCTTTTAAAGAAAGTCCTTGTGAACACTGTGTGAGCCCAGTGTGGGGGTCCCCAGTGACACCCACATCACAGAGACCCCAAGGATTCACCGGTGGGACCCCCACAGTCCCGCTGGGCTCGACTGGAGGCAAGAGCAAGATGGTCCTGAGCAGCCGACTCCATGCCCACCACCTCCAGCCAGGACCCTCTCCTAGGGCAATGGGGGGGTGCTGCCAGGGGGCTGAGCCCCATTTCGGGAAGCCAGGTGTGGGCTGGGGCGGGCAGCAGGGGCACGTCGGGGCTTGCCTCTCCCACCCTGTCCTGGCATTCCCGGCCGCTCCAGCCGCCCTCCCCGCCGGCCGGGCAAGCCGGGACGCGACGGAGCGCTGGATCCCATCCATGGGTGTAACGACCCGGCCAGCCTCAGCCTGTGGCTGGATCGGCCTCTGAGGGGGCTGTGCTGGGGGGAACGGGCTGGGGTCCCCTCTCCCTGCCCCAGTAGCCAGGTAGGACCCAGGGGACACACACAGTGACAGTGCCCAGGGCCCCATCCAGCTCCCAGCCCATGCCTCAGTTTCCCCAGGCACCCAGGGGACCGGGATGGGGAGCCTGGAGTGGGACTGTGTGTGGGACCTTGGTAGGGACGTTTTTTACCAAATCTTAGGATATTTATTTGCTGGCCTGGCCCGCTCGGCCCACAGGGAATTAATCCCTGGCCGCAGAGGGGATTAATGGGGCCCTGGGGCCGCTTTAGCTCCAGAAAGCGGATTAAGAGAAGGACAGGAACACGGGGATGGGCAGTGGGAGCCCTGGAACACCTCTGGGCTCTGGGGAGGACACAGGGGCGATCCTGGGGGCAGGAACCCGGCTGGGTGTGGACAGGGACATGGCAGCCCTGGGACTGGGGTGCTGCCCATGGGCATGGCCCTCTTCAGCTCCCCACGGAGGGGCTGTGCCTGTGATGGGGGACTGGGATTGTGCCCTGGAACTGGGGGCACTGGGAGCTTTGGTTTTGCACTGGTGGCACTGGGGGCTGTGTCCTGTATGGTACTGGGAGCTGTGATTTTGCACTGAGAGCACTGGGAGCTGTGGTTTTGCACTGGTGGAACCGGGGGCTGTGTCCTGTATGGCACTGGGAGCTGTGATTTTGCACTGGGAGCCTGTCACTGGGAGCTGTAGTCCACGTGCCCGGGGGCACTGGGAGCTGTAGTGCAGAGTTCACTGGGGCGTGGTGGGAGCTGTGACCCGCTGTACTGGTGAGTGCGGGGAGGGACTGGAAAAGGGGGGCTGGGGGATACTGGGGGCTGGAGGAGTTGTTGCTGGGAATTAGGGGGGGAAGGAAACTTGGAGCACAGAAGGAAACTTGGAGCTGGGGGAGCCCTGAGGGCTTGGGAGGGGCGCTGGGAGCTGCAGAGGGAGCTCGGGTTAGGGGCGCTGGGAGCTCTTGGGGAGCACTGGGAGCTGCGGGGGTGAGGGCACTGGGAGCCGGGGTGGAGCTGGGGGACACTGGAAGCTGCAGGAAGCACTGGGAGCTGGGGTGGAGCTGGGGGACACTGGAAGCTAGAGGGCACTGGCCGCTGGGGAACTACCGGGAGCTGCGATGGTAACTGGGGGCGCTGGGGGGAGCACTGGGAGCTGCAGGAAGGGTTCTGGGAGAAGGGCACTGGGAAGCACTGGGATCTGTAGTTCAGCTGCGCATACTGGGAGGTGTAGTCCGAGGACCCAGCGCATACTGGGAGCTGTGGTCCTTGGCCAGGACCATGCTGGGAGTTGTGGTTCCCCAGTCCCGGGCGCTGCTGGAAGCTGTAGTTCTGCACTGGGGAGGTGGGGGGAGTGCAGAGCCCCGTCCTCTCGGGATGCCCAGTGGCTCCCGTGGGTGTCACCCCTGCACTGACCCCTTGGTCGCACGTCCCCGGTGTCACCTCAGCTCTGCCCCCCCCAGCCCTGGTGTCCCCGAGTGGGAACGGGGACCCTCAGCAGGGTGGGCTTGGGGCAGAGTCTGCCCCACCGTCCTGCTCTGGCAGCCCCTGGGAGAGGAACTGGGGGGTTTCATCCCTGAGCAGCCCGAAGAGGCTGTGCCCGTGGGAATTCGAGGAGAGGAGGGAAACTGGGAGCCTCATTTCTTCACTTGCTGCCAGTGGGTTTTGCTGGCACGGTGCTGGGGGGCTGCCCGGGCTCTGGACAATGGAGAGGGCTGAGGGAAGGAGGAGGGAGCGAGTCGGGGTCCCCCTGGGAGGGGACAGACGCTGACCCCATAACTCTGCCCAGGCTCGGCCGTGGCGGCATGGGGGGGATGCTGGCACTGCCCCGGGGGAAGGGACCTCACCACGTGGGCTGCACGGATGTCATGGTGGGCCACACGCGGCAGGTACGGGGGACAGGGGTGGAGATGGGGACAGGGATGGGGATGGGAACAGGGACAGGCTTCCATGCGTGGCTGCAGCCAGCTGGTTTCACTGAGGACACGGCCACCACACTCTGTGCTGTCCCCAGTGTGTTCCCCTTTCCCCTCTCTCCCCCAGGGCCTCTTCCTCCGCCTCTTCTACCCCTGCCTGCTCCAGGCAGGGGCCACGGAGCCGCTCTGGATCCCACGCTCCGAGTACTGCGCCGGGCTGGCCGACTTCACCCTCCGGTGCCGCTGGTGCTCAGCCCTGCTCAGCATCACCATCGGTGAGGGGGGTCATTCCCTGCCCTGGGTGCTCCCTGTTCCTTAGGGACCCACTCCCTGATATGGGTTCCTTAGGGACCCACTCCCTGATATGGGTTCCTTAGGGATCCACTCCCTGATATGGGTTCCTTAGGGATCCACTCCCTGAGCAGAGCTCAAGCCCATCCCCTGTGCTTGGCTGGATGCTACAGGCAGGGCTGGAGCTGAGCAGGGACCTGCTGCAGCAACAACACCCCACTGCCCATGTCCCCTATTTCATGGGTGTTTCTCCTGCCCGTGTCCCCCCTTTCCTGGGGTTTCTCCTCCCCACAGGCTCCTGCAGAGTTCCAGTGAGCTGGAATGGGCCTTTCAAACCCTGCAGCAGTGGGTACCCCCTGATCATCTTCTCCCACGGCCTGAGAGCCTTTCGGTAGGATGAATCTTGAGCAGGGCTGGGATGGGGATTTGAGTGTCCAGGGCTGCCCTTGGCCCTGCTCAGACCTGCCCTGACTCTCCTGGTCTCCCTTGCAGGACCCTGTACTCCTCTGTCTGCACAGAACTGGCGTCCTGGGGCTTTGTGGTGGCAGCACTGGAGCACAGGTGAGTGCCCTGGTCCCCACCAAATTCGGCTGCTGTGCCAGGGCTAGGGGGATATTGTGCTCTGGGGAGTTGCTGGTACCCCCATGACATGGCCACCTTCCCTCCCACCACTGCAGGGACCACTCTGCTGCCACCACCTATTTCTGCACTGCAGAGGCTGGGAGAGAGGAGTGGATCCCCTTCCAACAGGTGCCCCAGGGGCAGAAGGAGTTTTATTTCAGAAACAAGCAGGTACCAGGGTGAGGGGATTCAGGGTGGGCGAGGGGGAGGTGTGAAATCCCTCCTGCATCCCTGGGGTCTTCATCTCATGCCCTTCCCAATCCCGTATCACTGTGATGCCAGGGCTGAGCTTTCTCCTTGGAGATGAGAAAAATCTGTTCAACCTGTTTCTCTCTGCATTCATGGGGTCTGTCTGTCCGGCTCCAGCTGACCCTGGCAGGAGCCAGGCTGGGCTTTGCCATGTCCCTGGATAATGTCCCCTGTGCCCCGGGGAGAGCCGGGCTCTGTGCCCAGCCCAGCTCCGCACCGGCTGCTGGGTTTGTTCACGCTTGGATTTTTGTCTCTCCGGGATTATCCCGGACAGCTGCTTGCTGGGGAGCAGGAAGGTTTCCTGCTGAGCCAAGTTCCCCCCCTCTGCTTGTTTCTGCCTCGTTTAAAAAGACAACAGCGAGTGAAGATTAGTCGTAGAAAAACTCTCTAGGAACCCGGGTGGTTGGAGGTGCTTTTGGCAGCCTTAAATCACCTCCCAGCCTGTTATTTTTGTGTGTGCTCTGTCTCACGGCCCATTGCACAGACAAGGGAAACAGTTTTCTTATTAAGATGAACCTGTGAGCGTAAATGTTGAGGGTGAGTGAGAAATAAACGATAAACAGAAGGAAATAGTTGCCAGGTCAACCTCCGTTGTGGCATCTGTGTTAGAGGGAGCAGGAGAGAGGTTTTCACTGGAGTTTTTTTGTCACTTGTCACCTTAAATGTGCACAGCCAACAGTGCTGGTGTCCTTAGGAGAGGAAGAGGACGGGGTCCCAAAGTGGCCCCAGGTCAGGGTGTCCTCTCCTTGAGTTGTTCGGGCATTTGAGCTGCCCCTGGGTGGAGCCCCTGATCTGGGCTTTAGGGGGATGCCCAGATTTGCCCCTGGCAGCTGGGCTGGGGTGGGGGGTCTGAGCTCCCCACAGAGGTTTGGACTGGTGGGTGACTTCAGCAGGCTCGGCCAGGGGGCAGCCGAGGAGGATCCTGGGTTCTCCCTTCCCTTCTTCCTCCCCAGAGCAGAGGCTTCTGCTCATCTCCAGCCGTCTCTGCTATCAGATTAAGCAAATTAAAAGCAAACAACAAAAGGAAACCACTCCAATAAATCCACTGCATCCCTGTGGGAGCTGCAGCCTCTCACTTGCTTTCACGTTTGTTGTAATTCAGGGAAAGCCCTGTCGGGTCCAAGCACTGGAGGGACGAGCGTGGGTGGGCACTGAGGGGAGGATCTGACCCCAAATTTGGGGGTTGGAGGAGCTGGGCTAACCAGGGGAGGGGTGGCTCTGGCTGCCAGGTTCATCAGAGAGCAGAGGAGTGTGTGCGAGCGCTCCGGCTCTTCAAGGACATCGCCAGCGGAAAATCCGTCCTGAACATCCTTCACCAGGACTTGGATCTCTCCGTGCTCAAGGTACCTGGGTCTGTCTGTGCTGAAGGACCTGCTGGGAGATCGGGTGGGGACGGGGGGTCCAGGTTTCCTTTGGGGGCAGGATCAGTCCTTGCTGCCTGAGACTTTTCCTCCTGGGAAAGGCAGGGTCCGTGCAGAGCCACAGCTTTCCACCTCTCGGGTTCCTGGAGCCTCTCTTCCCCTTCCCTCCCCCATGGATGCTGGGAAGCCAGGTCCTGTCACCCCAGCAGTGAAAATGAGACATGGCATTTTCCCCCCTCGCAGCGGGACTTTGCTGATTCTCCCTTGGCTTTTTCCCCCCTAATTAGGGACCTCCTGCAGCGAGGTTTGGGCACAGCCTTCTCCTTTTCGCAGGTTGATCTGACCAAAGTGGCCGTCATGGGGCATTCCTTTGGTGGGGTGACAGCGGTGCTGGCCTTGGTGAAAGAGCCCAGCTTCAGGTAAGGGATGAAGGAGCTGCAGGAGCTGCTCCAGGGATGAGGAGCTGCAGAAGCTCCGGGGACACGTGGCTCATCCCGGTGGGAAGGGAAGCCGTGCTGGGTGTCCGTCCTGCTGCAGGTGTGCGGTGGCTCTCGACGCCTGGATGTTCCCCCTGGAGAACGTGCTGTACCCAGAGGTGTCCAAGCCCGTGCTCTTCATCAACACCGAGAAGTTCCAGACTCCAGAAAGCGTTGCCAAAATGAAGAGGTTGAGCTCCAGGAACAGCCAGACGAAGATTATCACCGTCCTGTGAGCTGGGGCTGGAGGGAGCACCTACGGGCTGTGTGCCAGCAGGAGAACCTCTCCCCAGCTCCCACTGAAGCACATCCCTTCCCTGTCCAGGGGAACCGTGCACGAGAGCCAGACTGACTTTGCCTTTCTCCCCGGGAAGCTCATCAGCCGCATCTTCGGCGCGAGGGGGACCCTCGACCCCAGCAAGGCTCTGGCCATCACCAGCCGGGCAGCTCTGGCCTTCCTGCAGAGGCACCTCAGTACGGGTGGAGGGCACGTTGTTCAGGGGCTGGGGAGGGCAGGAGAGCTCCCCAGCTTGTGGGGGGCTGCGGGGTGGCCACTGCCCCGCTGGGCTTGGGATCGGTGCTTCCCACAGCAAAGGGGTTGAGTGGCTGCTCCTCTGTGACCCTGGAGTCGGGCTGATGAGGCTGTAGTAACCTCCCAACCATCTGTGCCCCGTGCAGACCTGGAAGAGGAGTTTGATCAGTGGGATGACCTCCTGGAAGGCGTGGGAGACTCGGTTGTTCCAGAAGCACCGTTCTGCCAGTCCAACCTGTAGCTGCTCCGAGGTCGGAGCTCGCTCCTTCTCACCCAGAACGATCCGTGCAGGAGCCAGGAAGGGCAGGAGGGCCCATGGAGAGAGCAGGAGCTGGGGACTGTGCTCACAGGACGTCATGGAACATGCCAGGGGAGCCCTCCCTGCTCGTGTGCCTGCAGTGAGGGCTGTGGGGCAAAGGGAATAAAATCCACAGGGGTAAAGACTGGGTTGGCTGTTGTAGAGTCACAGACTGGTTTGGGTTGGAAGGGACCTTAAGGATCACCTTGTTCCACCCCCTGCCATGGGCAGGGACACCTTCCACTAGCCCAGCTTGCTCCAAGCCCCGTCCAGCCTGGCCTTGGACACTTCCAGGGATTCCAGGGGCAGCCACAGCTTCTCTGGGCAACCTGTGCCAGGGCCTCACCTGGGCACGAGGTGAGATCCTTCCTGCACGTGGGGTGGGTGGGTGGTGATCCCTCGCTGGATCTGCTGCAGCTGGGGCACATCTGGCAGGAGCAGGGAGGGGGGTTGTTTGCTGTGGGTTGGGGGTAGTTCAGTCACAGCCAAAAGAATGGAGAGATGCAGCATCAGGGCTCCAAGCACAGAAGTAAGGAAAATCCTGTCATAGTCCTGGAAAGCTGGCCAGATGGCTGCCTTCATGCCTAAAATCTGGAGGGGGAAAGAAAGAGGAGAATCTGGAGGGGGAAAAAAAAGAAAGAGCAAGCTGGCTGGAAGGAGGTGTCTCTGAACACCTCAGCAGGACAGGGATGTGAAATGGGTACTGGGATTGGCCTCAGGGATGGAAGGAAAACAACCCAGCCTGGCTGTGCAGCATGAAAAGTGACACTTCCAGCCCGAGGAAGGGCTGAAGCTGGTGGAGCCGCACGGATTTACCCCTCCGGAGCCCCTCCCCTGGGTCCTGGCTGGCACCGAGGTGGGAGAGGCAGCAGGGATCCTGGACACGCCGGCTCGGCAGCTGCCGGGAGCATCCCGGCTCCTGACACACCATCTGCTTTCGCATTGTCCCCGCCGCGGCGCGGGATTCCAGCTGGGACACACCCGGGGGGGACGGCGGCGGCTCCGGCTTTGCTCCATCCCCTGCCATCCCGGAGAGAAGCTGCAGACACAGCGCCTGGGGCTACACGGAGGCAGGATTTCCTGGGGGAAGGGAGGAGGAGAGGCTGGAGGAGACGGGTGGTGCTGATCTTCTCCTGGTGACGCGGGTACCAGCAAAGCCCTTTTCCAGGGGAAGAAAGGGAACGGAAAAGCAGAATTTTGCTCCTCTGGTGCCTGGGTTGTTTGTGTCACAGCCACTCTCAGCCAAGGGCAAGCCCTGGGGCTGAAGATGCTCCAGGATGCTCCAGGATGGCCTCGGGGGAAGGCACAGCACCGTGCAGGAGCAGGGAGGACATCACTCAGTGTCTCCTCCGCTCCCCAGTGACACACAAAGGACTGATGTGAACTGGACCACAGGGCCCTGCTGCTTTTAAGGCTTCCAGATATTTATTTTAAAATGTTTTACACTGTTTCCAGCCCTGGGTTCAGGCTGGGGTGTGACAGCCCATGGAGACAGTCCTCTGCTGCGATGCTGGGGGTGGGTGGGGGACATTCAAGGTCGATGTGTGTGAGGAATCGTGTGGCTGAGCCCGGGGGGGAAGGACAGAGCCCGTCAGGTCCCCTTTTAACAGTGAGAGACAGTGACTGGTGCAGAAATCAAATCCCATTTTCCTCCGGAATTAGCAGGGCCGGGGATCTGCTCTGGCAGCCACAGGGGAGCAGCCCAGTGGTGGCACAGCTGAGACAGGCTATAAATTCTGCAAGACTCTTATGTAAAGGCTTTCAGAAGGGGGTGGCAGAAACAGACTCTTCTCGGAGGGTGTCTGACATCCATTAACCCTTCGGTTCATGGGAAGCTGCTCATTCCCATCCCCAGTACCCAGGGGGCTGGGGGAGCAGGGAAGCAGGCAGATATCCTTCTGCCTGGCCCTTCATCCCTTTGCCCCCCACTCCAGAGCCAAACAGAATCACTTTCTCAATTATTTTTGTGCCTCTGGAGGAAAATCCTGCCAGAAAGAGTTCGAAAAATCCCTGGGGTCACTTGGGCAGGGCAGACACCCTCCTCCCTCTGCTCCATCGGCCTCTCTCTGCTCTCTGTGGGATGTGATGGTGCAGGAGCCCTCTCTCCGGGCATTTTCCTAACTCACTGACTTATTGCATCTGCTTTAAAATCCAGCCTGGAGCCATCTCTTCAGCCAGGCTCCCTCCCAAGCAGTGCTTTGCTCCAGATCTCCATTATGTGTGTGAAAGATGTGGCACAAATCCCAGCAGAGCACACCAGGAAGGTGTTTTTCCTGACGTGGTTTAATCCCAGCTGGCATCCAAGCCCCACACAGCCACTCGCTCCCACCCATCCAGTGGGGATGGGGGAGAGAGTCGGAACAGTGAGGAAACTCGTGGGTTGAGATGAAGACAGTTTAATAGGGAAAGCTAAAGCTGTGTGTGTGCAAGCAAAGGAAAGCCAGGAATTCGTTCCCCACTTCCCATGGGCAGGCAGGGGTTCAGCCACTGCCTAAGGGTGACTTGGGAAGGCAAATGCCATCGCTGCCAGTGTCCCCCCTGCCTCCTCTTTCCTCCTACTTTATACACTGAGGATGGGCTGTATGGGCTGGGATATCCCTGGGGTCAGTCAGGGTCAGCTGTCCCATCTGTGTCCCCTCCAAACTTCCCGTGCACCCTCAGCCTGATCACTGGGGGTGATATGAGGAGCAGAAAAGGCCTTGATGCTGTTCAAGAGCTGCTCAGCAACAACAAAACATCCCTGAGTTATCAACCCTGTGTTCAGCACAAACCCAAACACAGCCCCAGGCCAGCTACTGTGGAGGAAATCAACTCTACCCCAGCCACAACCGGCACATCCCCAAGTCCCAGCTTGCTGGGATTGCTCTGCTGGCCCTGAGAGGTTGGGAAGGAAGGGGCTGGGACAGCTCTGCTGGTGCTTCCCAGGCTGGCCATAGGCAGAGACTGAACATCAGTCCCTGCCACTTGCCCAGGCCAGCAACCAGAGGGGACAGCCCTCCACTCTTTGGGGTGTCCCAGGCTGCTCCAGGCTTGCCTGTGCCACACTGGGAGGTTTTCTGGCAAAAAAAGCAGGAGTTAAGGGCTATCCCAGGATCTGATCTGCCACTGCACCCCTCCAGCACCAGCTCTGGGCTGGTCGTGTCCTTCCAACCCGAAGGTTTGGGTTTGCATGTGAACTAGAATGCTTTAGAGCCCTAAATCCAGGTGAATTTTGTTTCTCAGGGACATGGGAAGGAAACACTGACTCTGTTAAGTTGTGGGGTCGGCCCTGTGAGCACCCCCCTGCAGGCTGGCCATGCCCTGCCCTGGAGGGGTGGGTGTTGGAAGGGCTCACGTCCAGCCAAGCATTCCAATGTGTCAGCTCTGCTTCAGTATTCAGACTGGTGGCTTTAAAAATAATAATAATAAAAAAACCAAACCCAAACCAAACAACCCACCCTGCTGCCCATTTATATTCCCCTCACAGCTGTGCTCTCAGCAGGGCCGGGGTATGAATGGAAACATTCCTCTTACCCACGGCTTATCCCTGCAGAGCAGCCTCCGCTCTCCAAACGGCCCCTGCTCCAAAGCTTTCCACTCCCAGGGCTCAAATCCGGCAGTGTCAGCACAGACCCGGCTTGGAGCTCTTCACATCTCAGAGCTGAGAGTCTTCTCCTCATCCTCCCCCCCCCCAGCTCATCCTGCCCGAGGCTCCCTCCCTCCTGGGAAGCCCCTTGCAGCCGGCAGGTCCCTCCCCATCCCGCCGCACATCCATGCAGCAAACTGGAGTTCCCAGCTCCAGTGTTTGCTGCCGTGTACAGAAAACCTCATTTGCTTCAACTGAAGCCTCCCCGTTGATTTAATTAATGCAAATCGAGGCGTGTTAAACCTCCTTGTAATTACCATAACGCTGTCGTGGAGGGGGGTGGTGGTGGTTTGTTTGGTTTGTTTGTTTTTTTCCTTTTTCTCGTGTTTTTTTTTTTTAAGGAAAGCAGCAAGGCCTGGATTCACAACAGGCTGTGAGGGTCCAGCACCCTGCCAGCTGAGCCCAGTGTGTGCAGTGGGAACACACAAACCCTGGTAGAGGAGCTCAGTGCCCACAAGAAGAACAGTGTGGACAGAGGTGCAGTGCTGACCCAAACCCTGGGCAGCACCTTCTCGAGCAGAATTCCTTTGATTGGTGAGTATATACTTGGCTTTTGTGTTGGGTTTTTCTTTTTTTCCTTTGGAATATCAAAACTTTGCCCTGGGTGATGTTCCAAAGGAAAACCGAGTTTCCTGATCTCTGAAGCGAGTTTTTGCCGCCGAACCCTTGAGCTGAAAGCCCCGAATGCTGCAGTCACGAGGGATTCAGCTCAGTGCTGCCATCTTCCCAAGTTCCTCCCACGCTGGGATCTGAGGCAGGACAGGCCCTTGGGATGCAGAGCTGGGCACGTGCTTGCCCGGCTTCGATGCTCTGCGCTCCGGGTGTGGTGCTTGACGAATTCCCTGCCCTCCAAAATACACCTTGGGCCAAGAGGGCTCCTGTCCCCTCACCCAGCAGCACTGAGGGGATCTGGGGGGCACAACTGGTTTTTCTGACAGCTTTTACTCTGCAGCAGAAGCCCCGTTTCGGGCTGGAGCGGTCTCTTGCTGACCTAGAGATGATTCCTGAATAAACAGGGGAAAAAAGGACTGGGGAGGGAAACTGAAGTGTTGGAGGAGAGAAGGAGCTGTGTGAGGTCTCTCCAGTTCCAGGCTACTCTGAAAAAGCTGCTGAAACAGATCAAAATGGTCCATTTTGGTCAATATTCATCTTTCCCTCATTTTAGGAAGGGCAGGCTGAGCTCAGCCTGGCTCCTGCCTTGCACCCCAGTGTGGGGAGGGGGAGAGGAGGGAGCTGGGCAAGGAGGAGACCCCAAATGTCTCACCCTCCTTTTTAGCCCTTTAGCTTATATTTTCGCTCCAGACTGAGGTGTGGGAAGGTCCTGAGACTGTCAGCACCCCTCCCTGGGTGACAGGGTGGCACTGGACACCCCAAACCACCAACTTCAGGCTGCCTTGGCCCCTCGTGTTGATAGTGGCTCTCTGATGTTTATCACCCAAGGCCTTGTTTGGGGTTTGTTTTGGGGGAGGTCTTTTTTTTTTTTTTTAATTTAATTAAAATTTTAAAAATTTAATTAAAATT